TTGTTACAGGAAGTATTTCGAGATTTCAGTATCCCTGCCTGATAGTCTAGGTATTTTTTTTATACATATAAATAATTTCTGTAGGTGAATTAGGGAGATAATTTTAAAAGCTAGGGTAGGGATACTTGACACTGGTTGAATACGGATAATTATTATTTATTCTTTTGTATATTGAACGAACTCTCTCTCTCTCTCTCTCTCTCTCTCTCTCTGTCTGTCTGTCTGTAACCACCCGTTGGGGCAATGATAGGTATAAAATCCTACGCACTTTGTGCTGTACCATTTATTATGCCTTAGGACAGGTCAAGGATTTTTTTCAGGCGGGATGTCGAAACTTCATAAATTGAATAATAATTTTACTTTGGACAGGAAATTAACCCAAACGCCCAAATTGAAAGAGAAACTAGACGTACATGTATTATGAGCAATGAACTCACTAAATGATACCCCCTGCCTCCCATATGGTTATAATGGCCAAGTCCATATTTCGCTAAACCCATACGTGTCAGATCAAAAAGTAAAATAGGAGGTGCATAATGGTAATCTGTAATAAACTTAAGATTCTTTGAAAGTTTCATTAAATTTCTCTAAGTGGTGTAAGAGGATTTGCGGATAAGAGATGGGTACCCCAAAGCGTAACAGACAGACGAACGGACATAACGATTACCTCCCACTTTTCAGGCGGGGGATATAATAAACGTGAAATATAAATCACAGGAATGGGAACATTGGGAACTTTCTCGAATACCTTCTCAAACGTATGTGTCGAACTTGGACAACAGACAAGAGAATTTTTAAAAAGCTAGTTTTAGGTAGAATGTGGAATTCTCACGAGGAGTTTACTCTCTCTTCCTATATGCTTTTTCTAATAATCATTACTTATTTATGTCTAGAAATTCAATTCACATTAAATTCTATTTTCATTATCATTGTACCAAAGAATCAAACTCGTTTATTATACCCCACGCGTGAGGTATAATGTTTTGGACCCGTCAGTCAGTCTTTTTTTTTTTTTTTTTTTTGGTCAGCGCAACTTCTCATAAACCGCTGTACAGAGTTTTGTCGAACTTTGCAGATATTTATAGGAGACAATGTGTGTGTAGATTTGCACATCACCAGGAAATTCCGAATTCTTTATTTTTCGGGAATTTCCGCACTTTTACATTTAGATTTTGGCCATATCTTGAATATAGAGGTGAGCAGTTTGTCAGCGCTACTCCTCATAAACCGCTGCACACAATTTCGTCAAACTTTGCAGATATTTAGGACACAATGTGTATAGATGTGCATATTACAAGGAAATTACGATTCCTTTATTTTTTTTCTGGGAATTTCAGCACTACTTCGACTTTTGGGGGAGCGTGGGGTATGTGAACGTGCTCACTTTTTCTTTCATAGTGCATAAAATTATAAATAACTTTAAATCAAATTATATTAGGTTTAATAAAGCCAATACACAATATTTATTTGATAATAATTGATCATAAAGAAATCCAATCTGTTTCAGACGTTTTTCTTACATTATTTTTATGAGAGTGTTATGCATGTTTTATTAACCCCCCCCCCCCCCGTATCACGGAAAAATATCTTCAAAAGGTGAATGATTCGTAATAATGCCTGCTTTTTTTTTAATGAATTTGATGAAGTTAAACCATGTACTTAATTGTAAATTATATTTACAACATGTACAGACAAGAGTAATGTTTATTTTTGAAAAATTACGTCTTTTTTTTCAGTCAACCCCACTGAGCTTTCAACCTTTGATATTTTCCCTGACCAAATAAAATGATCGGCATGGGCCACGTGTGTCCAAGCATCTTTTACTGTTGAGTTAGCAATGGATTACATGACTTCTGAGATGCATTTTTCAATAAAAGTAAAATAGGATAATTCTTTCGACATGTGCACATCCCTGTAACGATAGCAGTACTCAGGTAAATGTTTTTGTCACTGCGTTTGACGCGTTTTCTCGACCTGCATGGGTGTTTGATGTACATGTATGTATTCCGTGTTAGTTTATTTTCTATATTGCAGCAAATACATTGAAAAATAATTTAATTCTCGGTATAGTTCTATTTTTTGTTGAATTTTTACTTTTCAAACATGTATTTGGTCAGTTTATGGACTTCTAAAAACTTTGTTATCGGAGATTAGTACATGTCGACAGTCAAGCTAGAAAATCACTCAAGTGAAGCAATCGTACAAGGCTATATATAGCAGGTACAGGTGACCAAATATTTTCAATTAAATATGGCGGAATCGAAGAAATATGGCGGACAAAGGCGTACAGGAATGTAGTAAGTCGTACAAAGATAAAAAATGATGGCTTTTTAAGAGTTCATGTCAGCTTTAAGAACCTTCTTATGTTACGATACTTTCGAAAAGCCAACTTAGTCTTAAGAATTGTCGTAAGTATGTCGTCAGACGTTTCTTAGTCCTAAGCTAGCTTCGTAAACATGCCTGCAGGTTATTTATGCTCTCAGGCTAATCAATGGAGTCTGTTTTGATATTTGAAATATCGGCACACTAATATTTGTGCGTTTCAATAATACAATGATATCCCATTGTGTGTTTATAAATAATGATAAAATAGTGTGCGTTTGTAGTTTTCCTCTTTTATATTTGTCCAGTTCAATGGCCAGTTATTACTAAATATAGTATGGTGACGTATGCGGAGACTTCCCAGAGTTTTTAAGTCCCGGGCAACAGGTGAGATAACTCCAAAAAAGAACTTTGATACCAAAGATTTTGAAAAATTTTTCTACACCAGTGCATTTAATTTTAATTCAATTTTTTATGTATTCTTAATTATTCCTTAATGTATCTTCCCCACAAAAGGAGTCCTCATTGATTTTTCTCAAGATGCCTTTCAGAGAAAATGAGTTTTATGTACTTTTTATAAATAAAATAAATTTCTTTAAAAAAAATATATGTTGATCGATAAAATTAAGTTTTTATGGTCATTCTGTGAGCTTAAAAACATACGAAAGGATGCGACAAAATTTATCGTGCTTGGTATAAAAACGCCTTTTGAAAAAATTCTTGAAACTTGTGAAATAATTATTTTAAAAGATCAGTTTAAATTACATTTTCATCCCTGGACAAATTTTAAAGGTTGATATGCTTGTTAAAAGTAATGCTCAATAATATGAGAACATAAGCTGTTGGTGTGTGGAGGACCCTTAAATTTGATCAATATATGCGACCAAACCATTTGTGTAACGAGTTAGTAATTTTTCAAAGAGTTTGCGCATATATTCTTTTCCAATTTTAATGAATAGTGATTTAGTTGCGAATTTGATCGCAAAAATAGCGCGAAATTTTAGTGTTTCACGTAAACTCTGCAACATGGTAAAATTTCAAATAATGGAGAACCCAGCGAAAATGCATAAATTCTTTAAAAATTCACTACCCTGGTACCGGGTATTAAACCAATGAACTGGGTATATAGTAATGATGAGGAAGAATGCTTCACGGATGGGATGCTTCTTCCCAATTTCTCAGGAGTTCTGGTGTTTAGACGGGGCTCTAATGATTATATTGTGAAAATGCATGAATTCTTTGGAAATATGTTCCTTTGCTATTTGGTATCATGCTAATGATCTAATTACATATTCATGATGAATAAAGGTGCCTCTTCCAAAATGGTTAATCGCTGGGACCCTAGAATAGTATCGCGGGGGGTGGTTACATAGTCTAAAAATAAAGTTATGCTTTGAAAACTGCTCTTTGATATTAATCAACCATTTATGATGAAATAAAATTTAAAATTAGTGATAAAATTTCCAAAACTTTGAATGTTGTGTCCCAAGGGTACTGGTTCCTATTGGTTGGGGTTTCACAACTCACAGTTGGTTATAAAGTGGAAAAGCATTTTCTCTGTATAAGAAGGAAATGGAGATAACAGACAGTATCTCATGGCAAAGTCCATCAAACAATGCATTATAAAAGCAGAGCAAACACGGACATCCGATACATCGGATTGGATCAGGTACCATTGAGGAGTGAGCATCCCTTGCTGACCGGTCACACCCGCCGTGAAATATCCGTCGTCAATTCAGTATATAAATAATGGACTAACAATTAGTATGAAAAAACGTCTCAGCATTTGACTCAATGATAAATGGTTTTTGCTGGCAAGGTCATTTATCGACCATAGATCTTACAAAACGATGACTTTAGAGGAGTCTGATGATATTCTTGTTTTATCAACTTGCTTGTGAATAATTTACCTCGTTTAGAAATTGTTCATACGTAGAGCATGCTCTCGCGTATCGAATCAACTGAGATGTATATTCAAGTGATGAAAGTATATTGCTGCATAAGTAAGGGAAGTTGGCGATAGAGAAAAGTTAAAGTCATCACGTTTATCCTTTAGCTTGGTTGTTAGATTACCATTAACGTCTTTTTCACGTAAAATATTCAAGTATGAAATAGATGTGTCAGACTGTGGTATCTCTTATCTCAAGCTCACCAGGATATACCGTATCGACATTGTTAATTGACAATACGTCGTCGATATATCTACATGTCGAGTTGAAGGCCACAGCAAGTGTTTTCTTCTTTTCAGGCATAAGATTTTGCACAAATTCCGCTTCATATGAATATAAAAATAGGTCTGCTAATAACTCTGATCCACCTCTGGGTATAAAGTAACCAAAGTAACCATGTTAAGTGTATAGTTATGGTAAACAATAGTACTTCTTTTATAATTGTGAATTTCATGGCTTTTGGTTTATAACTCGAACCAAATGCAAATGTTGGAATGTTGTTACACATGTACATGATACTCAGTGACCTATGAGACCCGTGGGCTTCTTGTTTCAATTTGCTAAGACTTTATGGATATTTACTAATTTGCAAAAATTTGTTAACCATGTTGATGGTCAAACACGCCAAAAAAAATTAATTTTAATTAATTTAAATTTAATAAATAATTTAAATTTAAATTTATTCGAGGTGTAACTTCTTATGCTTAATCTCTAAATATACATTTCTAGTGGAGGACTTGCTTTCCATGTTATTGGCCAGGGATTTGTTGATGTCATACAAAATATTTACACCAGTCTATCAGAGACTAGTATGGTATGATATAACCTTGCATTCAGGATACTTATGATTTATTTTGTAAACCTTGTTGGGATATAAACAGTTTTTGAATATAATATAAAACAAAAATGAAACAAAAGGAGTATTAAATTGAAATTGATTAATACAAAAAGGATTTAAAAGAAAATTGAAGTTTTATTGATTTTTGTGTAGAGCATTCTGTATGGATCTAATTCGATACATTTTTGTAGAATGGACAACAATGCATAAGAAATAATTCAGGAGTTTTGAAATGTGAATTTCCAGCCATGAAAGATCACAGAACGTCCCATCAAAGAAGTAAAAGAGACATATCACTTCAGACAATTGTTATATATTTAGATGGCTTTAAGGAAGTCATATCCAGAGAGATTTTTTATGTGAGCGATCCTGTTTTCTACCCACTGAATGAAAACCGCTCCTTTGAATATGAACCATCAACCGAAAACATCACGATAAAGGTTTGCATCTTCCGCAGATTGTTCAGTATTTGTTAGTAATTACACGTGTACCCATATATGATATCTCAAAGGTCATAAGAGACAAATATCTAAACATATTGAGTTACATACGGGAATTACTTTATCTGAGGTGATAAAATAAGACTGAAATGTTATTTAGCTTTTTAATGCAAGATACCGAAACCACAGCTGATCAAAATTACTTAGTCGGGAAAATAAGCTTTGACTTACGTTGCTTATCTCTCTTAGCATATGACGTCAGAAAGGCCCAGTCGCTGTTCAAGGCTATGCAATGTTAACTTGTGAACTGTCATGTCATTTTGCAGCTTAAATTTACGAAATATCACCATCATGACTGAAACCATGAAATCAAATGATCGTCAAACAGGCTGGTATTTCATTTTTATAAATTCCATCGCATATTTGCAAACTTTTTAGCATTCTTTCTTATTCAGTGATTATTCTCATCGTTTAACACTTCGACCGATTGAGAGAAAGGATAAAAGTGATCAAAAGGGAGAAAGATGGTAGAGTGGGAATTCAATCACTTTTATATGTGGGGCATTTATTTACAACATTGTTTTTATCTTCAACGTCAATAAAATGATTCATTTTTTCTAGACAATATAGACCTAGTGAATGCGCAGATCAGTAGAGCCTGTAACTTTTATGTTTTTTTTAAATGTGAAGTTCAGTATGAAATTTTTATTGTTAAATGTTTTATATAATTATTTCAATTCTACTTGTTATTACCAGGGCATTTGACAGCGTTTATTATTCTCTTGTTCATGTACAACACTACCCAACCTCCTGTCTCTCACTCTGCGACCCCCCCCCCCTCCCCCTGTTGATTTTCGATTTCCCATACTTTTTGTAAAGGATAATCTCGAAACTTAACATTTTCCGTGATTTTTTTTAATAAAGAAACTAGGACAAGAACTAAATGACTAAAACTTGAATAGTATGCGCTAGTTAGTACAAACCTATTTACAAAAAAATTCTCTGTTGCATTTCGCGATTTTCCTGGATTAAAAAATGACAATTAATATTGTTTCCTCAAAAGACGATGGAATCCTCTTGATTTTGTATTAAATACAGAAAATGGTATTAATTTGATTCTAAGTTTTGATTTATATTGAGTAAGAAATCATATTTGGTTAATAAAGGGGTATTGTTATAGGATATTCATCAAGGTCATTTTTTGAAGAAAGTAAGCCAATTTTTCAGTTGCCGGTATTTATTAACGACTTGTTCAAACTGAAATAAAGGAACTACGAAATCGTATTACTTATCTGAACACAGACACGCGTTTACATTTACAAAAATAAAATATATTAAATTGATTAAATAGAGTAGATTTAAATTATGTCCAATGATCCGTTTGCATCAGTGAGACTTTGTGACGTCATTAAACCACAAAATCAAGAACGATAAGCGGGAAAGAAAAGTAACAACTGGGATACTTTTTATCTTTATTTTACAGCAGAAATTAGGTCAGAAAAAAAATAATACTCGTAATTTAACATTCATTCATACTAGGTAGCTTTGAGTTTAAAAAGTGAAAATATGATGTTAGGAATTGTTTCCTATGACCTTTAAGCAAATAAAAATGTTTTGGGCAGCCAAAAGTTTTAATAACTGATTTTCTGCATTATAAGTTTTATGTTCAATAGGGTCGTGATATGAATATCGTTACAAGCTTACACCATTACTCTGTATATGTTGGAGGGAAAAAATGTTCAGTTCTTCAATTGGAAAGAGACTCATTGACATTTATACCTCCATCACAAGAACCGACTCCCCTTCTGCATGAGGACAGGACTTTTGTTAGGGTAATAAGTAATTTTTAGATACTGTCCACCTTCACTTCTGTACATAGTAAAACGAATACGATTCCGTGCAGTTAGAAGAAGCTGTACTATTCAACTTAATGTAGTAAGATTTCGGTTAAAAATTTTTCCTGAATATGTTACTTGAGTAAATGTATTTTGATTTTTTTGTTGAGAAAGTTTTTTTCAACGTGATTAAAATACATTTATTTTGGTTCTGTTGCTAATGTAGCCTTGCAAAGAAATTTCTTAAATATAGTCTTCTTTATACACTTGTAAAATGTCTGTATTTTGTTTTAAATAGGTTCGAGTGGGAAACATTAACACGGTAGTTGGTCATCTTCAGTATCCTGTCAGTGACCACGTGACTTCTTCTTCCGGTGCTGTTGTGTATATTATCTTAGCTAGTTTGGTGGTACTGTCCATTATAATCAGTCTCAGTATTGCACTTATTTTTTTCCGCCGTAGAAAAAAGAACAATTTGAAAAAGACACGCTCTAATGCAGCACCGATGGACAATATCGAAAGAATTCCAGGTAAATGTCTTTATTCTTCTCAGTAGAGTGGATGTACATGTTAATGCTCGACGGTGCCTGAAACATTTAAAAATGTGTTGTTGAGTTGTGTACATAATGAGTTATTTCCTATGTAGATTGTAAAATGAGATCTGATTGGTTAGTAAACCGTTTTTAATTTCAATACAGCCGTCTGAAGACAGGGTAAATAACGTGACGTCACAATGCATAGCTTCTCTATCATAAAAAATAAATTCAAATGATATTACAATGTATTGTAGTACGTAATTGATTTTTTTCGTACCACTAATTAGCCTTGAAATTTACAAAGCATTTATTTTATTGAATAGGAAATAGATTCTTTTTCTAGTCCCAAAAACGGGTTTACGGGGATTTATTATAGGTTTTATTCCGTGCACACTTTTGCCTTCGGCCTCAGGGTGCATAGAAAAAAAACCTTGGGTAAATCCCCGTACACCCTTGATAGACCCTGGATAACTAAAAACCTTAATAGCATGTTTTGATGTACAAATACCGACACTATTTATTTTTTCCATGCAATTCAAATTTTGTAAGAATAGTATTGTTGCAGTACACTTTTCTATAATTTTGAATCTCCTAGAAACTTTTTAATGTATTTTTTACGGAACATTTTTAAACATGTAAAAATGCTTTGTTGCAACCACTATTGAATAACGACCACTATTACATGTATAATAATTATTTTAATAATGGTTGAGAGTGCATTTCAATAGCAAAAATATGTTGCAACCACTTTTGAAATACGGCCAATATTGAAATAATTATTTTATTAGTGGTTAAGAGCCCATTTCAATAACAACCATAGGTTGCAACCACTGTTGAAATAATGTACTAAAATTGTTTATATATTTAGTTTCTGGTATTTCTTTTTTATGTACGTGATTTTCTTTGGTTTATACTAAAATACCAAAACCACATATTGCAGGCTTTATAGAAATATCCCAAATACTAGTATTAAAATAATTATTAGGTTGAATTACACATTTTGTTTTCAGACACAATAAACTAATTTATTGAGATTAAAAAATGATAACGTAAGTTGTTTTATGTTTTCTTTTATGTAGATATTTCAATTGATACACTGACATCTTTTTTTTTATTAAATTGGCTTACCTATAAAGCTTAACAAACTTTTTAAGCTCACATGGTTTTTCGCACAAATTAAGGTCACATTGTTATAAATGTAATATTGTGTGTTGAGACATCAAAATACATTTTAAAAGTATTTGTTTACATTATTTGAGGTTTATATCATTTACTAAAACATAATTCATACAAATCAATTGCCAGAACTTTGATATATTCTTGGCTGAAAAATAACAATTATTTCCAATTGATTTTTTGCATTTTCTTGCCAACTGCAGCTGTCTTTTTTTATCCGTTCTTTTGAAAGCAGTAGCCCTTTGCAGAAACATAGACACGGGCACAGTACTGCTACTGTAACTTGTATTTTCTGTACAATCTGACTCTTTAGCGCATGGTGATAATAGTATTTTTCATCTGTTTGACTGCTTTGTATGTTATAAGGTGGCATTTTTTAGAGTCACCTTCTAAAAATCTAGAATCATGAAAGATTCATCCCGCAGCAAAATTTAATTTTAACGTTTCAAACCGTTAATGCAGAAGAATTTGATTTAAACATGTATACAAATGTTATAAACAAGCTTCCACTGAATCTGACCGACTCGGCGAAAACCAAGTAAATAAGAAAGATACACCAGAAACTAATTACTGTAGATCACTTAATTTTTGCGACACCTTATTTTCGCGAGATAGTCATTGACTTTTTATTATCGAGACAAAATCTTTACGAATTGTGGACATTGCTCTATATAATCTTAAGGAATACTATTAAACGCGAGATTGTAATTACGTGAAAATAAAGTTCTTGCGAGTAAATAGCGATTTACAGTATATTAACAGTTTTAGTACATCATTTCAATAGTGATCGTATTTCATTACTGGTTGCAACCTATGGTTGCTATTGAAATGCACTCTCAACCACTATTGAATAGTTATTTCAATAGTGGTCGTATTTCAATGGTGGTTTCAACCTATGGTTGTTATAAAATGGATTCTCAACCACTAATGAAATAATTATTTCCAGCAGTGGTCGTATTTCAATGGTGGTTGCAACCTATGTTGAAATGCACTCTCAACCACTATTGAAATTATTATTTCAATAGTGGTCACTATTGAAATTATTATTTCAATAGTGGTCGTTATTTCAAAGTGGTTGCAACAATGATAATGCTGCTTTACACTTAAATAGATTATGTCTTTTATAGGTTATGACATATTGCTACCAAAAGATTCAGGCAATGAAACGGGAGTGTTTGAGACTCATGTCAATGAGAATACCTTATTCTTACTTCAAAATAATGGTCTTCTTATTTCAAAACAGAATCTTGACAAACAGTCTGAGATAGGAAGAGGTACATTTATATTTTTTATCACTTTCATCAAGCCTAAATTATAATGAAACTAATGAGCTGTTCGAAAATTATTTAGACATTGTGTATATTTTGCTTTCAAATGAACGTCTTTCGGTTAAAATGTGCATATACGTTTGACATACATTAAAAATTAATAAAATCAAAAAAATTCTTACAAATATTTAATATTTTCTGTACAATGGTATATAAATGCGTCATCAGTAGGGGTACCCGGAGCAGTCTCGAAATCAGATATTGAAAGGATGTAACACATACATTCTAACTCTTCATGGACCCATAATTAGAGCAAACTCTAATTAAACTCTGTTTAAGTATATAATTTTTCAGCTTTAATTCAAATTCATGTTGTGCAATTTTGATCAGGAATACAGAGATTATAAAAAATAAAGCGCGGAAGAGAAATCTGCTATGAACGAAAAAATGGATTTTGAGGTCAATGGCGGAGCAGCAAACATACGTAAAATTTTGTGTAGCGCAATGTACAACTTTTCCAGACACAACGACCTGCTAAAATAATAACTACGAGAAAAAAATGATTTTTTAGTGTTTGTTATTTCATTGGTATACTTTTTTTTTTTTTTTACAATTAATTCAACCAGAGTAAAATCAAAAGCTCCAGACCACCATCAGTTATTACGTACAGTATTAATACCGTTACGGAATCAATTATCATTGACCCCCGCTGCATAAATCGGCACTGCATGATTTTAAGTCATCTTTTCCCACAACTGAAAATTTTATACTCGGGTAGCAACAGCATACATTTTTAAGTGATAATTTAAGAATGATTTTTGTACTGTTATCTGTAATAACAAAGGAAAAAGATTAAACACTTCCCGATCGTTTTACATGCAAAACCATCTCTGGCTGACGTGACGTTTAAATGACGTATTGATGCTGCTCCGGGTCGATAGACACATATACATGGTTATCAATTCATTGAAACTTTTCTTATTATCATAGAAATTAGAACTTTTGCATAATTGTTTTATTCGTTGATTCTTTATAAAATGTTGATGAATTTTCAGGACGTCCTTTTTTGAGTTTATGTAATTGTCTCAATAATTCCCGAATATCCCTCGTATATCTCATGACAAATAAAAAAAATTAATATATTTTCAAAATATATTCTAAAGTTATATTGTATTTTGCAAATGTCTTTCCAAAAATTGCTATATTTGCATGTATTTCCAATGATTTGTTTTATATTTTCAATGTACAAATAGAAATACCGTAAATGTTATTTTCTAGGAAATTTTGGAATTGTATACGAGGGAACCTTAGTAGACACAGCTACAGATTCTCGTATCAAAGTTGCTATGAAGACATTACATCGTAAATGCTTTTCAATATATTCAATAAAATTTCATAAAATATAAATTTAAAAAAGAGATATGTTGTCTTAACGATATTATTTCTACATGTAGTTCTCAGCTATTGGCCTTTTAACCAGTAATACTGTAAATTCCTAAATACGCATGGAATTAATTATCATTTTATTTCGCAAGAAGCATAAATCGCGAAATGAAATTACTCATCTTTATTTTTTTTGTTGCTGTGAAATCTTTTGATCAATCGGCCATTCGAGTATTATTATTCTGACGATTTTGGGTTGAAGAGGCCTTTTGAGATAATAAGGAATCTACAGTAAATGAAAGAAATTTACGCATGATATGAAAAAATATATATAAATAATAAACGTTTTCCATCTGGTAATTACCAAAAAAAAAAAAACGTTCTTACCTGTAGGAATATTTCATAGATAACACTGCTAGTGAAGTAGACGTTGATAACTTCCTAGACGAGGCCATACGGATGCATGAATTCAACCACCCCAACGTCATGACATTGCTAGGGATTTGTCTTTCAATGGATGTTTGTCCTTTGGTTGTTTTACCCTTTATGAAGCATGGGGATCTTCTTCGATACTTACGTGATGACACAAATGTAAAAAAATAAATCTAGATAAAAAGCTTTTTCTTCAAAGTTAAATGATGCTGTTCATTTAATTCAAATGTCATCTTCAAAAATGAGGATACACAATTTATATACTGTATCTAAAAAAATGTTATTTTTCAAATGTTAAAAATATATTCATCAATAATGATCAGTTGTTGAAAAGAAAGAGATTAAAGGAGGCAAAAAGGGCGGAGAGAGACAGAGAGAGAAACAGAGAGAGAAAGAGAGAGGACATTAATCTACATGTACATTAAGAACGTTTATACAATTTGAAGAACCAATTCATTTAAAACAAAGAGTTCAAATATTTGTGGTATTGATAAGTACAAAATAAAATGATTTATCCTAGATTTTGACACTTAGAAAGTTGGTGGAATATGGTACTGATATCGCGAAGGGAATGGAATATCTATCCAACAAGAAAATTGTTCACCGAGATCTTGCAGCAAGGAATTGCATGTAAGACAAGTTTTAGTAGGAATTATAATAATTATACAATCATATTATGTTTTATTAACGTTTCTAATGTTTAAAAGTTCTTTAAAGGGTTGAAAGTTTTCATATAGTAGTAGCTGACTTTGGATTGTCACGCGACATATACGAGAAAAATTACTACAGCAGTAAAAACCAAAAGGCAAGACTTCCGTTAAAATGGATGTCACCAGAGAGCCTTGAAAAAGGGATTTGTAGTTCCCAGTCTGATGTGGTAAGAGAAAAATATGGAGATAATGAAAAATATACATGTTTTATTTCATCTTTCAAATAGATGATTGATTGACAGTGTTTCTTTTTTAACGTCCCTTGTGAATTTTTCACTCATATGGAAACGCCAAAACTTACCGAAGGAGAGTTGTTGTAAATTTTGACCTATGTTCGTCACGTAGAGCCATTGAGCAGTGAGGGTTCTTTTTCATGCCATACCCACTGCGAAACGGGTCCTCATTTTATATATACGATCTCCGATGAAGGACTGGACTCCACGTCCCACAGTGGGATTCGAAACCGCGACGTACATTTAAGGATCAACTCCTTGCCTCGCGATTCTAGAGCAGACGATCTAATCACTGCGTCACACAATAGACCCTTTCAAATAGATCTGAGGATTATATTTATACCAAATGGTGTATGTTTAAATATTTACATTTGCAAATGTATTCGTTTATATAACACTACTGAAAGCAAGCGTTTTATAACTGTATAAATACAGGTACGGGGTCAAGAGGTCATAGATGTGCGTTTGGATAAACGTTCGACGTAATCTCTTTGTGACGTAATAAAGGGTCGACGCGCGTTGAGTGGATTACATACATGCCGTTGGGTTTGAAAAATAACGCATTTCGCACGTTAAAAGTAACAATCAGGCAAATATAAAGTATGAGTAAGTCACAAATGTAAATGTTAGTAATAAGGTATCATTTTTTTAGTTTTTTTGAGATGTAAAACGGGTTGACACATGATCAAATCTTCCATAAAGCCCTTATGGGATGAAGGGCTTTATGGGATTTGATCAAGTGACCAACCCGTTTTACATCTCAATAAAACTCAAAAAATGAAACCTTATTTCTTAATTACACCGCTTTTTTCTGTATTTGAAAGAAACTAACTCATTGAAATCATAAAACATATTGGGATGAAAATATAATATAACCTTAAAGTCTTCTTAAAATAGTTCTTTACTAAAACCAAAAATTAATATGGTTTACATTAAGAAGTAAAACATTGCTAATTTGTTAAGATTCGTGTTAAGTTAAATCCCTTTGACTCAAATTTTGCTGCAAAAGGAGGTAAATAATGTTCAAGTGAAAATAGAAGGCGGAATTTAAAAAAAAAACCTGACTTGGGGAAGTATCGTCAGCATAACTTCAGTAATTCTGCTGGTACTTGAATCCCTCTTTTAAAAAAAAAAAATAGAATTCATCCATTCTTACTCTCACACTACGTCTATATCGTTGATATAACCTGTCGCAAGGTAGTAGGAGTGGTTATATTAGCGCGCTTGTGTGTGTCAAAGTTTGTCCTGTGCGAAACGGAATACACGAAATTTTCATAGAGATTGATGTCGAATGATGTCCTGAATTATTTACATATATTTTTTGCGAGGGAATGATGTTCGTTGCGCTAATACTGTTTGATTATGATGTCTAAGGTGCTACTTGATGTGAAAAGATTTTTTTCAGTGGATGCTATGTCTTTAATATTTTTTTTACACACAGTGGTCTTTTGGAGTTGTTTTGTGGGAGCTCGTAACAAGAGGATGGAGGCCGTACCCAGAAGTGGACGGGTGGGACATGCTAAAATATTTGAAAAATGAACGCAGGTTGACCAAACCAACGCAATGTCCAGATGTTCTGTAAGAATGCTAGTTTAATATTGGCGAGATTTGATATATACCAGAAAAAAAGTTATTTTTCCATTGTTCCTTATTGTTTCTTCCTGAGAGAGCCTCTGCGTCCAAAAAACCTTTGTTATGTTTTCTTCAATTCTTGTCAAACTATCGATGGTTAGAGAAAATTCAATCTAATTTATAATTTCATGTATATAATCTAAAAATAGACTCACCTCTTTGTATTCGCAGATACACAATAATGCAAGATTGCTGGAATCTTGAACCCGACCAAAGACCAAAATTTTCAGACCTTGTTAGAAGCCTGACACAGATTCTGTCTCCCTCAGATGACTATTCCGAAATACATTCGGATTACGAGACTCTGCAGCACATTTACATTAATGCAGATACTGATGCTGGATATAATCAGATAAAACACTAAACGACAGCATATTAAATGTTCTTCGCTTTTGAAATTTTTAAATGTGATGCTGACTGAGTAAATTGTACTGTAAGACTTGTCTTTTTGTTTGATTATTGTTTAACAAATCCCTATCGAGAATATTTCACTTATATAAACACGCCACAACGTGTAGGTGTAAAAGGGATATAGATCACTTTTAAAAATAATAGGTTTGTCATTTTGAAATTTTTAGATAATTAATTTGATAATTTTTGCGTGGTATTTAAAAGGATGTTTTAACCCGTGTGCTTAATTTATGTTACAACTATGTCTCTTCTACGATTTTTGTTACAGATCTGTTTTAATATCTTATAAGCATAATAAAAGCTTATCAGTACCAGGAATGGACTCTGTAAATATGACTTATCACAAACTGCAGATATCTTCCCATCGTATTTCTTTTCGAAAATTAAAGAAAAATGCGAGTTGAACTTTCTTATCACCATTTATATATGTCAAAAAACCTTACCTCCAATAATGTTCTTCAACAGCCAATATGGAACAATTGTAAATTTGTTTATAGAGGAAATACATTATATTAATTAAGAAAACTGGATAACCAGTGGGATTTCACATGCTGAAGATTTAATTGACGATGATCGTAATTTCAATTCACTATTAAATGTTTTGGATATATAAAAACAATTCAAACTTAGTGTGTAAATTTAAATTTCTTCTGCGTTTCTGTTTTCAGACCTTTACCACTAAATTGTAAGTTTGTAAACATAAGTTACAGAAAATATTTTCTCGTTTACACAGTATATGTGGATGTCTTTGCTCAAATATGCACCTTTTTCAATGAAAATCTTGTAAACAAAACTGTTGTTAACCATATAATCAATCATGCAGTTTTAAACAAAGAGGTCAGTGCTGAACCCTCAGAATGTAAGATTCCACTTCATTTATCTGATGAAATTTAAACTAGCTACAACATACTTAATCATTTTAATAATAATGCATATATTGTATTTGCTGACATGGTCATTGTCCCGATCATAGAACTTTTATCAATAGCTTGTCTTGTTAAAGAAATCTTTATACGTTGTTTGTGTTCATGCATATCAAATCAAATAGAAACTTAAACTCCATATGTAGAAATTAATACTATATGATTGTATGTTGCCAAATAAAGAAGGAAAGTTGTTGATAGAAACAAAATAAAGAAATCACGTTGAAAGTGATGTTTTGTCAAAAGGCTACTATTAACGCCTTTTCCTGTAAAATATCCAAATTTAAAACAGTTTCATCAGACTACATTATGTGGTGTCTTTTATTTCCAGTTCAAATGGATACATGAAATCAAACTTAAGGCAGGAATAAAAACTAAAGATACTGTGAGTAAAAAAACACACTAAATTATACCCCCACACACACACAACCTCCCATATGAATATAATTGCAGAGTCATGTTTTGCTATAAAAAAACCAAAATCTGAGTCGGATCAAAATGTAAAATAGGAAATCATACAGGCATTATGTAATAAAGATTCTGTGAAAGACTCGATAAATTTTATTAGGTGGCATGAGAGGAGTTGCGGGTAAGGGATAGGGTAACTCAATGACGTATAACCAATAAAATATATTCATTATACTCGTACCCTCGGCTTGAAAAGCCTGAAGGTACATAGTATATATACTGAAACGCAAAAGAAGCGCAACAAACAGCAATCTACAAATGTTTGAATTTCTTAACTAAGGATTTTTAAAAAAGAAACAGTAAGGTAAACTCACTTTTCAGGAACATCAGAGTTTTGATAAAAATGTGAAATGTTTATCTTTTAACTTTACTTAGTAACATATGATTTTTAAAACACCCCCTCTCAGCCATTCAATTACAACATGCAAGACTGTCCTAAACAATATTAGAAGCTTTTCTACGATACAGTAGGTTAATCAATATCGAGATTTGAGCGAAGGAATTATTCTTTGTCAATTTTAAATGCCTGTTTTTTCAGATGAATAGGTCGATTTTTCTCTAACATAGTACATTGTAGTAACCCTCGGACCTCCGGTCCAAGGACTGTCATTTATGAATATGATACGTAAGACCCCCTTTAGGCGTAATGTAGTGTATTTTTGCATCATCAACTTTCCATCACCTTTTCTTTGAGATTTTCCAGCTAAAGCAATGGAAATGCGTACTTGAGGACACATGATACAAAAACACTTTTGTCAAAAAATTTTAAAATAACAACTTGGGTCATGTTTTAATGAATAAAATGAATAAATTCACAGCATAGTTTTCAATCCTTTATTCAAATTTTCACAAAAATGGACTTTGAAGTGAAAAATATTTGTATAGATTAATAAGGATGTTTTCAGAAGGGCAGACTTTTGAATATCACAGAAGGTTTACAATTTCTTTATATTTTAGAAATTTATTATTTGCATCATTTGCAATGAAATTAGAGCAAAATATATATACCAATCCAGCCATCCATTTTTGTTTGTATCATCTGTCCTTAAGCCTTTTTCAAGAAGCCTTAGCATTGTTACGGGAAACGAAAGGGGATTTTATTTTTTGAAATATTGCTGCATTACTGAAGATGACCAGTATGAACCCTTAAAACTCCATAATATTGCCAACTGTTTGTTAAGCATGCAATTTTTGATTTCCGTTAATCAACTCAAAATTTACTCCCAGTTATGGTATTTAAATCGTTCAACATTTAAATTACCGATATTTACCAAATTGAAGATATCCATAATTTTATGATACAAATTTTTTACTTTACATAATTATTACACCCTGAATGGTGTTGCATTTCTTTTGCGTGTCAGTATAGTAATCTATATAGGGTATATAGTAATGGTGAAAGAGATGTCCGTCGACAGGCAATTGCTTCGTTTTCGGGGTAACATCTACTTATTTTTACCACAAATAAAGCGAAAGATGTGATTTCAAAGTAAGTTGATGATTAAGATATCAACAAAATATTAGCTTGAAGTGGGGGTGCCTGAATATGAGATAGGTACTTTGTGGTTAAAATAAGTAGATATGGTACCCCGTATATGAAACAATTGTCTGTGGACAGACATCCCCATTACCATGATTTACCATATACCCTATATAGATTACTGTATACGATATTCCCTCCCGCTTTTCAAACCGTGGTACAAAGAACATTGTTTAATGATAATACTTCAATGTTTTTTATGATAAATTGAAGGCGCAGTTAGTACCGAATTGTAATCCATTCTCTTCACAAAGTTATGTTTTGTTCTAACTAAGCCAAATGATTTCACTGTAAGGGATATGAATGGAACGTTTCAAAGTTTTATTAATATATATATTTCAAAACTTAGTCTAGTTGTCCTCGATCAATAAATAATACAGTCAATGACAACGTTTTTCTTAACATCAAACAACGAAATGAAGCCAGTGAAAGTAAAAGGTAATAAAACGTTCGTAAAAACGACGGATTTTATAAACGGATATTAATTTACAATGTACGTTTATCTAGTTGCCTGGAGATGTCGTGAACTGGTAATCCTGTTACCATAGAACACTAGACTCTGTTCAGCGTCTGTTGTGTCGTGTGCAGAGACTCGCTCTCTTTCCAGCATCTTACAGAAGAGACGTTCTTCATCAGTAAGTGCTGTGTATTGTAAGAATAACCTAAAATAAGTAAAGTGCAGAATCTTACATCATACTTTTCCTGTTGATCATAACAGCGGCTTGTGAGTTTTAAAACTTCCATAAATTGCTAAGAATACGCATAATTTTCATCTATGCGCGATTTTTAAATACTAACTACATGTTAAGCTGATTTACACGACTTCTTTAACAACGCATGTACTAAGAGCTTATCCAGATTTTGGTATTTCTTCTTGAGAATCTATATAAAAAAATCCTGTATGCTTTGACTTTTAGTTATTATATGTCAAGAAATAATTAAAAAATAATTTAATCCTTCTTGTTACGCAGAAATCAAACTTGTTTATTGCATATAATTACTTTAATTCAGCTAAATTAGTTTATATCTAAAGTTATTCGAGTTAGTAAATTGTATTATTATACAGTTTATTTATAGTTCCTATCTAATCTATAGACGCACAAAAATCATAAATCTACATTTCACTGGATGTAAGGCCGTATTCTCCGTAGGGTCATAAATAAATAAATTATGCAATAAAAACAACAGAATTTCCGAACGATCTCATAAAAATGCTTTTAACAATTAAATAGTAGAATATTTAAAGTGGCAAAGTCCTTTTAATTTGAGTATTTACAAATACAATTAAATATGTGATCTTCTGAAAGAATCGTCTATTTTTTCACAAAGTTCAATATTTTTAAATATCTAAGTTGATAATGAATAAAAATACTGAAGAGAAATGTATGTTTACCATACCATGCCATGCCATGTTTCTTGGTCGCTTTGAAAAAAAAATGTTTAAAATAATGATTAAAAATGTGTTATTGATGAGTTCAAACTTGAATTGTTAATGTTATGCTCCTTATTTCGAAATTTGGATAAAGATACAACTTTTGGTATGCAGTCTTATGTTGTTGTTCATGCAGCGTTATACGATATACTATAGTGATCTTGTGTCTTAAAGATTACTGAAACATATGATGTTCATTTTTTCCTAGAGCATAATACAACATTTTAATCTTGATAATTATGAGAATGCAAAATACATGTATTATTTACAATTCTCTTCTCTGTCTTAAGGTGATCCAACAATCCAAGAGGTGCGCAATGGTAAATGGTCTTTTTTTTCTTTATCTCAAGCAATTACATCTAGGCTTAAAAAATTACAGTAAACTTTTCCTTTTGGAGTGTTTAGAAATTCATAATACATCTTTCAAATTCAGGAATGCGTAATAAAAAAAATAATTCAAAATTCAAGAGTTAGATTTGTTTTGAATGTTCGAAAGCTAATCAGCATGGATTCTTTTAAATAAAAAGCTGATGATGTTTTAATAATATCAAAAAGTAATATGTAAGATTTCTAGCAACAATGATCTTAGATATAACACTGTTGTGCGTAAAATGGAAAAAAAAATTTGTTCATGCTTTATCGAATGTCGGCAGTGCAGAAATCAAAGTTTTCCCCGAATCGAAAATATTTTCGCCATATATGATGTAACGTGAAGTGTGTACATAAAAGTCACACTGTAAATAAAAGGTTGATATGCTGTATATATGCTACTGCACGCAATGAGTTGGCTCAGTCAAAAAAGTTAACAGTATAAAATTAGTGTTTTAGACAGTTAAACTTGAATGGCCTTTAACTTGTAGAGTTATCGATAGATAATTATTTTATTGAGATAAGAAAAGAAGTTGTGTTTGTGAAAAATATTTCCGGAAAAAAGGAAATGAATGTAACCCCAATATTTCTCGAAAATCTGTTAAAAAAGAAGATATCTATTTGATGTCCTTCCGTATTCATCGAGATATGATTTGAGTGGATTTACAGCAAGAGGTAAATAAAATCTTTTCAAAGAGAAAAAAGAAACAAACGTTGCATATAGATTGTGTTTTATTTACTGCTTTTTATATAAAAAAAGTTAGATCATATAAATAGTCCTTTTTCGTAAAGATTCTTACTCGGGTATATTTATGGACATACGACGGACTGTTTGTTCAAGTCTATATTTTTAGTTAAAACATTTCTGTGACATCATCTTTTGTTAAACCTGGTTCAATAAATTTGTTATTGTCCTGCACCCCGTCCAATAAGTAACCTGTAGGTGTCCAATAAGTTTCAACTTATTGGACAGGTGCAGATAACGTTAAAATGAGAACAAAGAGCGAGGCAAATACGTAAAAACAGCACTTAAAAGGCAATGACAAATCAAACAATTTAATATATGAACAATGTAGGAAATTAGTAGCGTTAAATGTTAATATCTCACAAAAAATCTTATTGAAAATGGCACAAAAAATCCAGTGAATTTAATATCTCTGATTCATTGTAGACGCATCCGTGGCTCCGATCATAAAGTTCCTGAATTCACCGTTAATTGCTATATAATAGATTCATTTCCCAATGCTTCATTCACGGAACATAATATAGAATCCAATGGACACAATTGCAAAGAATGAATGAGAAGAATGCTCTTTCTTACACACAACCTTGGGCTTTTTGTTTATTGTAATATCCATTTTTCCGCATTTTGCACTAAATTTCGCTCACGAAATTCCAACAGAATCTAAAATTTCGTTCAGTGATTTATTACAATTTTTCCACCTAGTCCTGCGTCGTTTGAGCGAGTGCCTGTCGTTGTTTTAAGGAGTGGCTGTATTAAAATCCTTCCGAGTTCGGAACCTGCACACAAAAGAGAAAGTGTTGCATTTTAAAAAAAATACATCAGAAATAATCTCCAAATTTCAAAGAAAATGCTTAAACAGTTGTAGGAGTAAAATCCTTCAAATCCTTTTTTTTTTTTTTAAATTACCTGTTAACGGGAAACTCCGAAACATAAGAATATGAATCCGGATTTCATAGTATGATAGTAAAAACTTGAACTGAGGCATCTTGGAGTAATTGATAAATGGCATCGTCAAAGCACCCGATTCTGAAGGTATTTTTTCAAAATCAAAACGCACGTCTTCATCCGTGGTCGTTGCGTTGTAAAATGAATAAATTGTCAAGAATTTAGTAGAACTGACTTTTACGCATGCGTAGTATAGATAAAAATGTCGCAATGCGGACAAATAAGACTAAACAAAGTTAATGTTCATATTTATCGATATAAAACACCTCTCGATGATTCCTACTATTAATAAAATCAGAAGAAAAACCAAAACTGGTTTTCTTTGGCCTGACTTGATGAACAGTGCCAGGTAGTCATCCAAGCAGAACGAGACCTTACCTGTGACTGTCCAATAAGTTAACAATGGAAGTGTTCGACAATTAATGGTGAAATGTTTTAAGTAAGTTATAAGCCTCAAACTGACCATTATGACAGATATTAGACTCTCCTCGGCGCTAACGCGCCTCGGGTCGTCTAATATCTGACATAATGGACAGTTTTCGTCTTATAACCTTTACATAAATTTCATTGGACAAGAACAGACAGTAATATTAATTTGGTAACATTTGATACTCACTCTTACTTCAATACAATATTTAACTTTCTGGTACATTTTAAACATCCGAATACATTTTCTGATTTTTTTTTTATCTCATTTCAGCTTACTCAAGCAAAATTATACCGTATTTGACAGAATTTATTCACCTCTAGAAAGATGATTACTTTCAACTTCAAGATTCTAATGATACGTTTGATATCCTTCGCAACAGCTGAAGCGTACTCTACAATACAGCCAGGTTTCAAGATAAATACACTATTCTCTGTTAGTCTGGACAATTTCCCTTTGAGGAACATCGCCTATGATGATTTAAACAAATCATTTTTTGTAAGTGGACGAAACATACTCTACAAATTCAATTTCGGAAATTCCGGTCCGTCTCTTACAAAGCTAACTGGGCCAAATTATACCTGTTTTGCAGAAACAAACTTAAATGCAAAATACTGTGGTGACGACAAGAATTTAGTCATGGTAGTCACGCCTGATTTTCTGATTACATGCAGTACCCTCTATGGTGGACGGTGTATAAAGAGAAACAAAATGACTTTAAACGAGGAAAACGCTGCACACCCATACATACAACTTGTGTCTGACATAACTGGTTCTGCGTTAGGAAAATTAGTAAATATAACAGTGCACGACGTAAGTGGTGTCAGATATTCAAAGGAACTCCTTTTGTTTGCTAAAACCCCAATGGAGTTACCAAAATCAGTGCCAAAACTAAACAGAAGTGTATTATTTTCCGTTGGATCAAATTTGCAGGGAAAATATTTCAATAACTTTTTAACTGAAAATGATATATTCGACTTATTTTTGAAACCTACTTACATAAGCTCAATGGACTACAGATCGATGTTTGAAAATGACGATTTTGTGTTCCTTTTGTTTAACCAAAATTCAAAAGCAAAGTTAGCCAAATTGTGTAAATCAATAGATAAATATAATCCTAAAAGAGTATACGAAGACATTCCAATTTATTGCAAAGACGGAAATAAAACTTTCGATGTGATTGTGGATGGAAAGTTTATCAATGCATCAGGTGACCGATATCTAACCGCCATTTTTACAAACTTTGCTGCAGGATCTTCTGCTCTTTGTATGTTTTCAGAATTTGAAATTTACGACGCATTTCTGAAGTCCAGAAGAGATAGATATGGTTGTCCTTATCATGATCTACCGAACAACGAATTGATATTTGATGATTCACAGAATTTGCCTAAATGTGTATATTTGTTACTAAGTGAAAGTGAGGTAAATAGGACTAGCTGCTTGTTTTCTGTACAATATATTCAGTGTACTTCTAATATGAAAGACAAGGCAGAGAAATAAAATTGAAATTGTTTGAAATTTAGCTCAATATATACTCAGTTGTATGTTCCCAAACTTCGTTTAGGGAACATGATTAAAGAATAGGCAAATTCAAAGAATTGTGGATATTGTGCCATTATTTTTGGCTTATTGTCCCCTACTTTTGTGAAAGCAAGGGAACATTAAATCTCATTTGTCTCTCTAACTGTTTATCCGTCTGTCACAAAACTTGAATCATTGGTCATAACTTTTGACTGAGAAGAGCTACATAAGTGTAGATAGAGCCTTATAAATGTACATTACCTGAGACGAGCCCTTTAAAAATACTACATGTATAGTTTATACTCCCTTGATATTTGCTTTGGAGTTTTATCAACGTTTCATTATTTTTTTTACATTGATTTAAATTGGCCATAACTTTTGAAAGAGAAAAAAACCCCAAAAATCCTAGCATCTTTGGAAATGTCTTATAGCACAGGTAATGTACATGTAAAATAAGAAATCCCTATATTTCTTCTCATTCAAAAGTGATCACTAAAGATAAAGTTTTTGTGTCAGAAGGACAGACGGAGAGACCTAAAGACGAATGAGATTTAATCTCAAATGGCCTTGTAAAGGAGACAATAAATAACATAACTAATAAATAATACAAGTGAAGAAGAGACTCGCGCATTAAGAGACTGCATCCTTTAGTCGACTTTTCTTTGTCTGGTAGACAAGTAATATATAAAATTTGCATTAGAAATGAACTTACACTTTCCATGAATATTTATTTTGTTTTTAAACTGGATACTTCGCTTTCTCAACATATAGATTTACTCTCATATGCATGCCTTAAACGATTTAGATTTAAATTGTTTAAAATTAATGAGCCGCAATTATTCCTTTGAATACATTTATCATGTAAAAATTTAAAGCTTAACCAGTTAATATTCTAATACTCCAGACTTTGTAAGGCAGTATTTGATTTTTTTTATTTAACTAAATATTCATTTGAATGTTTGTCTCACATAAAATTAATTCAATTCTTTTGTTATAGTTATTCTCTGGAATTTCTGATGCATTCAAAAAGCAGTGTTTCTGCAATAATGTGACCAATATGGTACCACAGTTTGGTATTGTAATTGGTATTTTGCCACTTTTCGGAAAATCCGTTTACGGAACACAGAATGTGATAACAGTTATTGGAGATCAGATAGTGGATGAATTTACATTACTTTACCTTGGGACGCATGAAGGAAGCGTAATAAAGGTAAAGAAAGAAAATACTTGTATCTAAGTAAGGAAAAATTGAACTCACGGTGTATTTAAACTAGGGATGTCAACAAATATTCGAGTATTCGACTATCTTTTGATAATACAGAATATCGAATAAATATTTTACTCGATAATTCGAAAAAAAGATATTTACTTGTAATCCTGAATTCAAGGTGAATGGATCTGCCCAGTTCATTTATTAAGGAATCGGTGTTCTCCAGAGTAAAACTCAGATTAACCCAAAGTTTCTAGTCAGTCTTCGTTATAATTGTTCATACTCAGAGATTATCTGTTCGGCAAACATACAAATAAATGAAATGCTTTGAAAGGTGTCAGATAAAAATTGTAAATGTTTTAAATGCAGTTACATAATGTCGATATCTCGCATAATGCAAATATTATTCATAAGGAAGTATTTTATACCCTCAATATAGATAAAATTTGCTGTAAATATTAAATATATTCATTGCTACATAAATGCAAACTACTTAATCAATTCGTTCATGGGGAAAGCGTAGATAATACATTGTACAGGATAAGAGTCTATTAATGACAAAAAAGGGAACATCAATTGAAAAATCAATATAAACTAGATGCCGTCATGAGACAGTAATATCCGTAAGGTGTTTGTCTCTAAATACAAACTTCTTCATATAAGGCTTTCCAAGGGAAAAAGACAAAATAATTCTATAATTTACACAGTACACGTATTCGTCAAATTGAGTAAAAGATTCTCAGGTGACCATGTGATGAATTTATAAAAAGGTGCCAAATTTTTTTTTAGTATTTGGTCAGGCAAAAAAAAAAAAAGGCTGAAAATCGAACCCAATCAATTTTGTCAACGCCCAATCGCCACCCCACACGTTTTATTTTAAATAGGCCTATATTGCAAATTTATGTTAAAACATCGTTTGTTACAATTTAAAAATCGTTTTTGTAATATACATGTATGTGAACACCTTTTTGAAAATATCTACATCACATTGGGTTTGTGTCACATATTGTCAATTTTATATAGCAACACTCGGCACACCTCTGTCGTTGTTATTTTTAGACACAGGACAGACAATCACATGACTTAATACTATTCACTGAATTCCCGCTTACAGGAACTAACAGCTGGGCACTCCCAGCCTAGCTGATGAACGAGTTCGATGTCTATATTATACAGAAAGTAATATTTGTGAATTCTTGTGTGTGTCCCGGTTAGATAAATTTATAAAATATATATATATATATATATATATATATATATATATATATATATATTCTTAAGTCAAGTCTATTATGCTTTAATTATCTGTCAAAATGTTTGTCTATGTGACGTCTATATGTTGTATGTCATTGTAATATTTTAGGCTTTTGAGTCTTATTTCTACGCTTAATAAATTATTGAACCTATACCAGGCATAGTCATTTTCTGATGCTCTGATCACTGGCTACACATATACTGTGTAAAGTATAGAATTATTTTGTCTTTTTGTTTTTGGAAAGCCCAATACATGTATGAAGGAGTGTATATTGAGAGGCAAACATCTTAGTGCAGGCATAACTGTGTCATGACAGCATCCACTTGGAAACTACTCACGGCTTAAACATGACATGAGACTCAAACCCATCACTATTGATGTGTATTATACTTGTATTGCACTAAGAAAAATGATGTTTCAGATAAAGAAAGAATTAAGTAGCTAAAAGTCTTATGTAGATATAAACTTTTTATGTAATTTTTGCTGTGATAACACTGAAGATGCTTAGTAACGCTTAATGTCATAATTTCAAATACAATTATATTTAACTTTTGAATTTGTACTGTCATTTCCTCGGAAATACTGGTAAAATTGGTTCCCATTATTTTTGCTTTATTTTAGTTACTTGTGAACAAAACGTTTTCTGTACACTACATCGAAACAATAAGAATAGACAAAAGCGAAATCAGGGCAATAATTGACATCAACGAAGATCCAGTAATACTGACAGAAAATAAGGTATGTGGTTATCTATGCTTATGTTTTTCTTAAATTAGTAGAAGCTATAATAATACGACCTATACTTTATGCATTTTGAAAATCAATGTAGTGATTAATTTGGTACAGATTGAATAAAAACAATTACATCTACCTATTTTGATGAAACTTAAATCAGTCTCCGTACTTGAATTGACATCAGAAACATAAATCAAATAAATTTTCAATGCCATGCTCCTTGGTTGCCATGCCAACAACAGAAAAATCTTAAACAATTAAATTTTCAGCTTCTTTTAATCTTAATTGGGCCATTCTCTTAGATTACCTCTTTGCTACTCACGTTCTTTGGAAACTGTTCAGAATATATATAGTTTGTGGCAAGCAAGGGTAACTCTGAAGTTCATTTAAAATTTATGCTGAAATATGCCTTAAAATTAAAGTATTCACATGTCATAGGTAAAACATTATCAAACTTGATCAACAACTTTTATAAATCAATGAAAATGTTTGACATGAAGTAAATAAGTATAAGCAATATCATAGTATCTACTTTTATGGCTACAATGGCGACACAGTGTAACCAGGCAAAATCAGTTACTAAAATCGGGTTAAAGCTACTGTCTTGAGAAAAATGAAAATTCAAAACTGTTAGATATGCATTTTTAGAACCTTGCAACGCCAACACCGTAAGAAAAATACCCCAGGTAAGTGCTTTTTTTGCGATTTAACCATGGAAACAACATACCACTGGATTAAATGGACATTTTTGCTGGTTTTGGAATTAACTTGTCATTTATCAAGAAACAAATCATATGACACAGCTTGCATAGTACTTATCTCTGGTAAATCTTAAGTTGAATATCATAATATTATATTGATTAAATTTGATGAAGAAAACAACACTGTGGCTATAGTAACCAAGAAGAGAAAATTTCAATTTTATGAACTTCATATCAATATTAAACTCTTTGAGCCAGATTCTTGCATCCAGTTAGAGATTGGAAGATAGTCAAAATTGAAATAAGGTTTGCTGCACATATATATCAATCATAAAAGTTTTGGGAATCTACATTTAAGGGGAATTATCCAAAGAAACAAAATATTTTAAGGTAGGATTCTTTTCATATTTCTTGTATTTAAATATTAATGAAATTTTCAAAGAATCAAGAACACAATATTACTATGGGCCAGTTTCATTTGTCACCGATCGGCGCACGCCGAATTGCGCCGGTCATATGACCGGCGTTAAACGGCTAAGAGGCAAATGAATTAAACCGGCGAAAACATTTTTTAAAAATGAATAATTACGCTAAATGATAATCAATTAATTAAGTTTTATCACTTTTTACATTATGTCTTAGTAGAATAATTCGAAATTCAATTTTAAAAAAAACCATGGACCTCATGAAAAATTTTATTTTTCAGAAAATAAAAACATATTTTAAATATATGAATAGAGATTTGCTCAAAATATGCAAGCAAATAAAGAACATATCGATTTGGTAAAAGAATCTGCATTTTCACAGTTGTTTTCTCTTCCCGCCATATTTCTAAGACCGGCAATTTCCTCGCCGGTGATTTCAGACCGGCGCATTCGGCGTACGCCGGCGAACCTTCCCCGGTCAAATGAAGTAACAAACCGGGTTACGAAAGGTCAAGCGGCGCATTCGGCGTACGCCGGTATTACAAATGAAATCCTACCTTTAATTCATTGCACCAATGTGTTTCTTTTGGTATTACTTGAGAATCCGTGCTCTTCTTTGCTCCATTCGTAAAAAAAATAATCAGTGGCTGTCTTTCTGATTGCTGATTTGTTAAAGACCAAATAACAAACACTAGATAATGGGTTACCAAGTATTACGCAAAGGAATTAATAATCGCCGTCCAATTATACTAGGCGTACGCAATGTGATTTGAATCGGTTTAGCTTTTAGTAGAAATTAAACTTTACAGGACATATTTCAGGTGCTGCTTGTCTTTAATTCGACTCCGCCCCAGACAATCAGCTTTAAAAAGGTCAACCAATGGAACGTTTCATTCGAATTAAGAGTGAAAAGAATCGCTTTGGTGCAGTGCATTCAAAGTGTTGCTATCAGTGAGATTAAAATGACCGTTTTATATTGGAGGCAAGTTCAGGTCAATGTCATTGCCTTTTTTCCTGGACATTAATAATGATAAAAAAAATAATGTTGCAAATTATGAGATCCCTATATATTAATGTGTATTTGAATAGATTGAATGTTTTTCTTTTTCCATAAAAAGATACTTGTATAAATGGCCTATAAGATAGTATTACCAAATTGACATAAATAATTAAACTAACACGGATATTCTCTAATCCGAATTTTCTCTACTTTTCTTAAATTTTTAGGATATATTAGTTATTTTTATATGTTTCCAATTAATTTTTTCTCATTTTCACATATAGTCAAGTTGTCACATAAAGATACGAAATTATAGAAAAACAAAAACAAAAAAGTCCGTTTACTAAGAGAGAAAAAAAATACTTTTTTATGGATTTTTGGCTCAAAAACAAAAAAGTCCGTTTACTAAGAGAGAAAAAAAATACTTTTTTTTATGGATTTTTGGCTCAAATCTGTACTAAGACTGGAGGCTTATAAAAACTAATATTGTTCTAGTTTGTTTGAGGAATCATATCTATTTGATATATTTAAGAACTTTAGTCAATTACTTTTAAATAAACTTACATTTGATTTTTTATAAGTCTTTGATTGGGTAAAAATTATTACTAAATTCATAGTTCTTTAATTATTTTGAGAGGCGGAAAGAGATGTTTTCATACGCCACAATTCCGTCAAAAATATAATCCCTGCGAGCATTAAAATACGGTTTACCATTTCTGGCTAAAGTTGTACAATTGTTATGAGGAAGGAAAGATATTGTGTTTTAAATTTCTTACGCATAATTATATAAGACATATAAGCAAATGCACTTTGAATATTCCATTTTGTCAGAAACCAGAGAAGAATCCTACCTTAAATGTTTTAAATAATGTATTTTCTGTTTATTTCCATAGCAACGGTCAATTTAGAGAATTTGATAAGGAACAATCCAACGCCTTTAAAAATTGATTATCAGTTATAAAGAAATGTTTTTTTTAAAAGACAGAATCAAATTTTTACAGATAGAGTATAAATTGGAAGTCTCTCTGTAGAATAGAAGTTTTTTGAAGAGACTTACTTTTACACTCGACGACTGATTTCTACTATTGAAACAGTGACTTACTCCATCTACTAAAATGTAAAAGTCAGCTGTCGAATGCAAAAGTAAGTCTCTTCATAAAACTCTATAAAGACCATGGCAACCATTGCTAACCAATGTAAAATATTCTAATTTTTCATTGGTATATTTTTAAAGGCTCCTTTCTCCATTATTTGGTTACAGTTCATCCTATAATTGTTATTTACTTTGACATTTATAACTTTATCAAATTCAATTCTTTTAACTTATGAATACTTTGTTAACATAGTAACGTATGAAAAAGTTGATTTACCAAACTTGTTCATAATGTATTAAAATCATCAGAACTTCAACTCTTGGAAATCTATGCCATTTGTTTTCTTTGCCGCAAATGTTAAACACGGGGCTCTTAACATGTTACAAATGTCATTTTCCAAACTTCAAGACATGTAAACATTGAAACCGAAATAAATCATAATCAATTTTTGCCTGATTTTATCATATTAAAATTTTATCATGGAGAGTTTGGGAAATTTCTAAGACTATGCATGCGACTGCTTTTATAATACAAATTTTTAAGTTATTACAGAGAATATCCCTCTTATAACGGAGATAACTTTCTGAAGATTTTTTTTCATGAAATGTAATAAAATATCATGTCAGATTTTACAGATTTCATTCATAAGTAACATTTTCTAGTCAGCTCAATCGAATATGTTTTACCTTTCAGATGTTGCTTTCTAGTGTCTATTGCCAGTTTTTTTCTTCCATTATTGATAACATTTTACCTTAAACATTTATACTCAGTTCCTTTAACAATGTAAATTGAGATATTTCTATCTCTTAACGAATTTGATATTCTGATTTAAAAAGCAACGCTTCGGTGTTTTCTAATGAGATTTAGATAGGTAATAGTAAATATTATTTATATTTATATACTTCATATGTTTAATTTTATTGTAAGATAAAAATAATTACCGTCCCGTCATGTGTTTTCGTGGTTATATACGTTTTCGTGGTATTTTTTTTTATTTTTAGGTATAATCACACAATGCGATATCGAAATGACATCATATTTGCTACTAATAAAGGGGAACCTTGTGCATGTTTTATGACCAAATGTTAAACCTTTTTGCCTTTGCCAAAATAAAATATAGCGAGTGAGTTATGCATAGTTTGCAAATTTGACAATTTGCATAATATACGTTTATTCGTCGTGTTTTGAACTAGAATACCAAACTTACAAACTAAAAGCCGGCGATCCTGCAGATCATCGTCTGTTAACTATCTATACAGCTACCAGTCATGTGACAATAATGTGGAATTTTCCACTTTTGATTTTTCTACTGTGATCTAGTAACGTCATTTTTCGTATAATTTTCAAAGACAATATTAGGGGTGTTAAAAAATGATGTGATAAAAAAATAGTGTGCCGTTGATAATCAATTCAATTAAACATTTAATTTCTTTAAATATATATGGCATTTATATTTTAAACATGAAACATTCAAATTAAGCTTTACAAAATTACTTCCAGGCCACTCTTGAGAAAGAGAAAATTAATTTTTACATTATTTAACAATACAGCTTAGGCACGCCTAGATAGATGTGGTCTTAATTAACAACAAATAAATTTCCATGTCAAATAATGTAATCATTTTGTCAATAAATTAGTATTTTTGACACTGTAAAATTTATAAGGATTTTGCCCTACTAGATTTCCATAGTTTACTTGTTTAATAAATACCAAAAAAAAAAAAAATCAAAAGAGCAACCATGCAAGAATTCAATTATCTTCTGAACAAATAACAAATGATATG